TAATGAAGACGAGTGGGGACAGCGCGTGGTCCATTTTTAGTATTGAACCACGACCTTTTAACGGAATTACCATAATGACTTTTGGAGTATTTTGACAAGCTGTTGTTGGAATGATAACATGTGAATAGGAATACTTATGGGCACTTCAATAAGGACTTTTGACACTCTTGTCTATATTAATTGACAATATCATCCCTTGCCAATTGCCATCTCAATATTTATCATCATAAAACTAGATTTAATGGCTTGTTTATAATGGGATTTTAACGAAGAGAATAATGGATCTCACGAAGTATATAGATAATAAATGAATGAATGTTTAATCAAGATTAATGTTTGACTCGATCAATTAAGAGCTTATAATTTATTTATTTTTTTAAATAAATGGAAAGCATGCCATCTTCTCTTTAGGATTATTATAGAATTGCTGATAACTCCAAGTTTTGATCCATCTAAATGAGTTGATTATGAATAATAAATTTTGTTTCTAAGTAAAAATATAATTCATCATTTTTCATTGTTAATCTCGTCGTAAAAATTTGAAGGCGTGAAAAATTGTTGATCTCTATAATAACTTAACTCTAGAAAACTTCACCAATGCACAACAATAGTTGAAGTAAGATGTGTGCAAATTGACTCAACTTTCCATGCGAGTTGTGCTAGGTTAGGCATAAGGATTCTTTAGCTCGTACATGTCAATTGATATTTAAATTTTTTTCAAAGTAAAATTATAGAATTATGAATATGAGTTGTCCATAATGATAGAGATGAAGATGCGAAGTAAATAATAATAATAATAATAATAATAATAATAATAATAATAATAATAATAATAATAATAATAATACTTCGTTATGTATTTAACTAGATCACTATTTTTTTATGGCCTTATTAATTATTAAATGATTGATATTTTGATATTTTAGCTATTTTTTTACTCATGATCGTATCCCATGATGCAAAAGCTCAAAGAAAGTTAAAATTTTCTTTGAAGAGTTTTTAAATTGCGTGTATTGTTGTATGCTAGACTCTGATACCCAACTTATAGAAGAAATTAATGTTATTTACAGTCGCTCATTACCATAGTCATCATATGTAACATAGATGTGATGGTTAGTGATTTGATACATTTCTCATTCATGTATCATTTTATCTCTATGTGTGTTTCTATTGACAATCCCATAAAAGAACTATTGGAAATATTTCGAATTTCTTTTTCATTATTTATTGGAAATTAGAGTAAAACGATTTTCAAAACCTAAGCGTAATAGAAAATGAAAGGTTAGAGAATTAAATACTAGTAACGTTATTTGGAATCGTTCACTACCGTAGTCGTCTTACATGATATACATATGATGACTAATGTTTTAATACATGATAATGAGCCACTGCAAGTAGCACTACTATATTTAATTCTCCAACCTTTCATTTTCTATTACACATAGGTTTTGAGATCGTTTTATCCTGACTTTCCAATAAAAAATGAAAAAAGAAAACCGGAGTATTGCCAATAGTTCTTTTATGGGTTGTCAATAGACAAACACACACAGAGAGAGAAAAAGGATAAATGATGAGAAATGAAAGACAAAATAGAGAGGGAAGACCGGAAGAAAGGCCAGGAAGAAGCTTTTCCTTTTCTCACTTTGCTTTGCAAAAAGCATACATACACCTCCCTTTATAGATAATCTATCTTTCTCTCTCTAGTCTAAATTCTTTGAAGAACAGATGAACATGTACCATTTCTAACTGCAATATTCTCTGCATTGTCTTGTATTATTCTGTAAGTGGCGTTTCTTCTTCGTCTGGGCCTTTTTTTTTTTTGCATAAAATATATCTGGGCCGTCTACCATTTTTTTCTCTGAATTTTTTCGAATCTTGAAAGTTCAGTTTTGCTGTTGCTTTAGTCATGGGGAATGGGATCGATGCATGTTTAAGATTGGCAATTACTAGCACATTTCTCGCGGTAGTTAGATTTCTTGATTACTCATTCAAGGTTTTGAAAAGGTTTTCCTTTTGTTTGATTGTTGAACTAAGAGTATTTTTTCTGTTCTTTAATACTAAATTACTTTTCCAGACTGAGAAAATCATTAACTGGAATTTTTTTCTTTTTCTTTTAAGGTTTAGTAGTTAAAGACTCATACTCTTGTACTTTATTGACCCGTTAGCCTTTTTTCTCCTTCTTTTAAGCTCAGTTCTTCAATACTTTTCTCCTTCAAGTACACTGGAGCTCGCGAAATTACAGTTGTAAATTTCGAAGTATTCTAATTGTTTATTTTTCTTGTAGTATCAGAAATTGTGTAATTCAGTTGATAGATGTGATGAGTAACACGAATATTCATCTTAGCATTGACTAATTTAGTACCATTTTGAAGTGATTTGGATTCAATCTAGAATGCATTGTTGATTTTTCTGAGAAAATGTTTTGTTTGCTTTTATGAGAACAGAACATAAAACTGGACAATGACAAGGGTAAGTCCAGAGTTTGGGGATCAGGAGCAAGTCTATCTTCCGGTGTCAAACGATGTGAGCTTTTCATCTAATCAATTTCCGAAATATAAGTTAGGACCTGATAATGAGATCTTAGACGAGGTCAAAGAGGATTTTAAGGGTCCATTCCTGAAGGAGGTAGTTGTTGAAGAAACGAACCAGCTAACAGAACAGCACAAGCGACTTTCTGTTCGGGACCTGGCTAGCAAATTTGACAAGAATTTATCTGCTGCTGCAAAATTGTCTGAAGAGGTCTTAATGAAGTTCTATTTTTGAATTTATATTGCCGTTCAAGCTCTAAAATCACATATGCAGAAATTGATGTCTGTAATAGCTAATTGTCAGTGTTTTTATACTCATTGAATCAAGACAGTTGCTAGAAAGATAGGAACTTCTCAGAAACTGGGATTCTATTTCTCCTGTCTATTCCTTTTTATCCTATCCATTTTTATTTATTTATTTATTTTTTGGGATGACTCAGTGAATTGCTAAAGTTTTTTGGACTTTAGGCTAAACTGAGGGAGGTGCCTTCGTTAGAGGGACATGTTCTTCTAAAGAAGCTCAGGGATGCATTGGAATGTTTGAAAGGACGATTGGCAGGACAAAACAAAGAAGATGTGGAAAAAGCTATTTCAATGGTTAGCATCTTGTGATAAAAACCAAAGTTTTTAAAGTGATTTTGTTATGTTCCTTACTGCCCTTTGTTCATGATGTGCCCAATTCCGAAAGCATTTGCTACATTGAACATGTTTTATGCATAAATATTGTATGTAGTAATTGGGAAAGCCCAAGAATGAATTTCATCTATTCGAACATATTTCAAATTAAAGAAAAATTTAGCAGTTTGTTTTGCCTTGTTAGATGTCCTTTGGCTCTTTGCAACCTTTGCCAAGCAAAGATGCATCATAATTTTACTTATTCGTGTTTTGACTGTTCGGTTTTGCAGGTCGAAGCTTTAGCAGTGAAGTTGACTCAAAAAGAAGGAGAGCTAATTCAAGAGAAGTTTGAAGTGAAAAAGCTGGCGAACTTTCTCAAGCAGGTAATGCAGATTTATCACTCTCTTCAGTTTCATTTCATTCTCTGCTTGGACACTCACGGACATTGTAAATTTCTTTCCTCTTGCTGCATCTGTACCCTGATCATTTGGAGACGTAGCGTGGTGGTGGTAAAATTGTGCAGGATCTACTTATTGTTACATTAAGAATTTGTTGTGGTTTTCAAATTGAAGAAGGCTAAAGTTTATTTGAACTATATGAAGTTATATAGGTTGCATGCCCCATATTCAATCCTTTTAACTGTCCCCACTTCTGTGTTAATGCTGATGGTAACTTCTTTGCATCTAACCCTGCCCTCCCGTGTACATAATTTTTTCACTTATTATCTATTTTCTCAGATTACACAACATATAATTTTCTCTATTGATTACCTAGTACATGTGTCACTTTACTACGATCACGCACGTCTCTTTCTGTTTGCCCCTTTGCTTCTCCTCCTTTTCACTGTGGTTTCTCTGTGTTTTCCAGAGAACTGAATCTGCTTTCCTTTTACAGGCTTCCGAAGATGCTAAAAAATTGGTTAACCAAGAAAAGTCTTATGCTTGTGCTGAAATTGAGAGTGCTAGAGCAGTTGTACAAAGGATTGGAGAGGCCCTTGATGAACAAGAAAGAACCTCTCAAACTTCAGGGAAGCAGGTTGCATTTTGCTTTGTATCTTTAACTTTTTAACATGATTTAAATATCTTAAGCATGCACACATACACTCTCATGCTCATCTATTTGAGTGGATTTTTTTGCAATAGAGCATCTTGTAAATGATCAATACTGAAGGATATTTTCCTTCCTAGATAGGGTGTCAACATAAACTTTATTCCTTTGTTGCTTAACATCCATAGGTTCAAAGTTTTGAGGAGTGCTATATTACTCCTACGTAATGCAGAAGTTTGACTGATTTTCTTGTGCTCTTAGGAAACGGAAGAACTAATTGAGGAGGTTCAAGAGGCCAGAAGAATTAAATTACTGCATCAGCCCCTGAAGGTGCACTATAGTTTGTGTTTCTATTTCTACATCTGCATTTAGGTTCATTTGGTTGTATCTTTGCAAGCTCGTTATTATCAAAAGTAATTCAAGGTTTTGGACCCTTTTTTCTTTCCTGTTTTCTACTTCAAAAACTCATTACTTGTGTATAATTTATAACAGTGCCTGACTAGCCTATGATTCTTATGGTAAAATTCTCCAATTCCGTGGATATTATGCTACTTGGATGCTGGTAGTCCCAAATTCAAACAGATTTGTAGTTTGTGCATCAAGAACGTTTGCCCCTCTAATGAAATTACAACTTTAGACATAGTTCCTTGAGTCCTTGAAAAGGATCATTTTCAGCTGGGTGACTATGAATTGTAAACTGTCATGTTACGTTCTTCAGACTTCTTTGTGTTTTTCGCTATTATTATTTTCAATTCTAAATGTATTTTTCTCTCCAGACTTCTTTGTGTCTTTCGCTATGATTATTTTCAATTCTAAACATATTTTGTCTGTAAAAAATTGCAGTATGTATTTCAGATCTTGTCTCGACATTTTTCCCCCCATTTCAAGTATTTATCTCTTTTGATAGGAGAACTTTCTTTGTATGTGTAGGTGATGGACATGGAACATGAACTACGAGAACTAAGAATTCAAATTAGAGAGAAGTGTAAAATTTCATTCGACATTAGAAAAGAGGTTTGCTATGTCTCTCTTCTTTACCTTCTTTTGCAGATTGAATTAATTACTTGTGTAATAAATATAGGCTTCATAAAATGAGACAGAATGTAAAGGATTTCAGAAAAGAAAGTATATCTTCACATTTTCAAACAATTACTCGATACGTAGATCATTCATTTCCTCTATTGCAGTTCTGACTTCTCTTATAGAAAGCCGAAGTTTAAAGTTGTAGGCCACTTGCCTTTGTTTCTTTACCCCATCTAAAAAGTCCTATCCCCTTTTAATAGGTGCACAGTTGTTACTGTGACACAAGTAAATGAAATGATCTGCACCACGAGTTTCTCTTTTCTTGCAAGACTTATTTCCTTGTCATTTACAGTTGGCAATGAACAAGAGAGAGGAAAACAAATCCCAATTTTATGAGCTAAGTGGCTCCGAAAGTTTAGGTTCAATATTACGGATTCAACCTTCCTCAGATGAAGCAACAGACCTTTCTAAATGTTTGATTCAATGGTATCGTCTGTCTTCTGAATGCAGCCGAAGGGAAGCTATTTTAGGTATCATTTTCCTTCTGCATAAGTTAATACCGTACACTTTCTGCATTTGGTAAGGAAATGTAATTTGTTCCTACTTCATCCTTTTTTCTCGATTATTTGCAACTTTATCTCATGAAGTCTATAATCTTCTTTACCAGGTGCAAATAAATTCATATATGCTCCCGAACCAATAGATGTTGGACGAGTTTTGCAAGCTGATATCATCTCAAATGGCCAGAAGGAATCAGTCATTACTAATGGTCCAATAGATAAAGGTTGTTAACTATCTAGTAATTGTTAATACCATGATAGGAGGTTCCATTATAACTCTTATGCTACTTTATAAATCCTTTTCATATGGGAAAAAAAAAAAAATTAAAATGGTCTTTACTAAGTTGTTTCTTTATTTCATACAGCTGCAGAATTAGACAGCTATGTGGAGGCACTTTTCCGGAAATCAAACTATGAATTCAGTGTATGTGATCTTGTTTCTTGCTAGTTCTCTCACTATGAGCACTTAAATCGCCAATGACTAATCCTTATAAACTTTGAAAATCATATGCCCAAAATTTGCACAATCTGTTTAAGTTTTTGCCATCTCTGTCAGAGTTAGTACAAGTGGACTGCTGAAAATAAGTCCTAGAAAAGGTTCATCTTTATTGTAATTGTAATACATTTTGCTCTGCAGGTAGTTATCTCCCAGATGAATGGACGGAATTATTCATCGCATTCAGCACACTTATTTCAAGTTGGGAAAACAAGGATGAAGCTTAGTAGAGGATGGATCACCAAGGCTAGAGATTCTTATTCCAAATCTATGCAGGTATTCCTTGTGGCTGCTCTCTTATTCCGATTCTCAATGAGCATTATGTGTTATTTGAGAATTTTACTCATCCCACATTCTATATAAGACGGTTATTATTGAACCACTCATCTAGAAGTGCTTTAGGTGTTGGCAAGGGGCATAACTGATTTATTTAAAGAAAAAATTCTCTTCACATACCCCATCGTGTGCTACATTATGATTTTATCAAAGGCTTGATAAGTGCACAGTTTTAATAAATGGATGGCGACTTCACGAATCTCTCATCATTGCTGCTGGTCTTATATTCTGAATATGTTTACAAAGACTTGTAATAGGAATATATTCTTTTTCCATACCACGAAATAGAGATCTTAGATGTAGAGCAATAATTTATTCTTTTTAGGTTGTAAACTTGCAATATCTAAGTCGATCAAAATAGTATCTCTTGCTCTTTCAAGGGGATTTCGCTCCCATTGATAAACAGATTGATGGCTTCACTCTGTAATCATCATTGACATGATATTATAGAAGTTATCTGTTGAAGATGTCTATAACTTATCCTTTACGTGGTTATAAGTGAAAAACTGGTTCTTCAATTTTTCATCACTGCTTTGGATCTTTTAGACAACTAATATTCTGAGACATCTTTTAAGAATAGCATTACTGACAAACATTATCCCGTCCTCAGTTCTGTGGATTTAGAGGAGGTGGCAACTCTGCAGCCAAGTCCTTATTTTGGCAAGCAAGGAAAGGACAATCTTTTGTGCTAGTTTTCGAATCTGAGAGAGAACGAAATGGCGCCCTTATTCTTGCAAGGAAGTACGCCCTCGACTGTAATGTAAGTAGCTTTTGTTTTTCCTATATCTAAACCCTTTTTAGCTTCAGATGTTCACTATTTTCACATCAAATATAGTTTTATTCTCATAAAACATCATATTTTCAGCATTGTAACATAAACTTGTTAATGGCAGGTTTTGCTTGCTGGACCAGACGACGATGCTTTACTGTAAACTAGGCTGACTTGTGAGTTTCATGCTGATATGAGAGTATAACGGGGTTTTCAAGTGTGATTTTTTCATTTTTTGTTTGGTGTTTGGAGATCTAATCAAACTTCCACTGATTATTCATGTGTGTTCTAGGCATGGTTTTGTTTTGCCAAATCATTAGTGATTACAATTTTCTTCTAATCATTTGATTGTTCTTTGCTGATTTGCATTTTGTATTCCTTTTTGTTTGTGTTAATGAAAACGTCTTTGGGTAAAAGGCAGTTGTAAATGTCACGAAATTTCCCTCTTTTGGGATATCATCGGCAATGAGTATGTAGGACTCGTTTAGAAAAAATGAAAAACCTACGCTGTTTTTCTATAGGAAATGCGTTCGACCTTCTCTTAATAAATTGAACATAAGAAACACTATTGAAATTCTAAAAAATGACATCGAGAACAATTTTAACCAGTTGGAGGGAAAGATATAGAGTATGTGATGCGGACATCTCGGCCCAGCTTGGCCTATTTATTTTTACTTCATGTTATTTAATTATGTCTTTTTCACTTTATTGGACTTATTTAGTGGGTCTAGTCCAAGCTAATGAATGTTAGGTCTTATTCTACTATTTATATGATTTTCAGTTGTAATTACAGACAGACAATGATGGAATGAAATATTATTATGTTTGGCTTGCAGTCGTTTCCTCCCTTGCTTCCCTCTCCCTTCCCTTGGTTTTCTTCTCCGATCTTCCCCCTTTCTCTCCAGTCTTCTCTCCCCTTTTTTGCTGCCTTCTTCTCCTTCTCCTTCATGAAACTCTTCTTCTAGTCCCTTCTTCCATCCTGCATTAAAGTGGTATCAGAGCTAAACCTGGACAACAATTTACACAGCACCAACATTCAAAAACATCACAAGTCACCTTAGCCTCCTTCGCCTATAATTATTCATTCAATTTCTCCTCCATCGCCTCCACCTCCCCAATCGCCATATAGTACACCTATTTATCCAACTCGTCCACAGCAACTATAACCTGCAACAAACCCCCACATCATATTCTCCACACTTCAAACCGGCTACTGCAAAATTCAAAATCGCCTCCTGCCCGTAGCTGCTGAATATCAACTGTACCACGACACCTATATAAACTGCTACAAACAGTAACCACCCCACACACAATCTACTAAGCCACCACTGCTACCATTTATCACCAGAAACTACCACCAACTATCAACGCTATAATCTTCCCAAACCTACGACCTGCAGTTCGCACCACCGCCATTGCTCCATAATAGGCAGCAATCACACCACAATCACACAAATTCCGAGTCTTCTTCCACTTCGTCGACTCGTCTGCCATCGCTATAGCCAATCGACACCTGTGACGACATCCCCGCCGTCCCAAATCGGGTTGCATCTCGCCGGCAGCCCCAATCATTGCCACCATAACAGCCCAACACCGACAACACGCAAAAGTGACCGATCACTCCTCACAGCGCCAACTCCCGTAACTCACGCTTCAAGAGGAAGAACCAAGAAGATGAAGAAAAAGAAGACTCGGTGGAGAGCAAAAGGCGTTGAGTCAATTTGGGTTGTCTTTTGTAATTTCAACATTTTGCTTGGGCTTTAGTCTATAGTCCTCTTTTGTTTTGTTTTGGGCTTTCCTCTTACCTTTTTGGTTGGGCCTTCATCTTTTATTTGGTTGGTCTATTCATATTGTAATAGATTAGTGCTAAAAAAAAAAGTGAGAAAAAAAAAAGAAAAAAGAAAAAGAAACGTCTTTTCTATTATTTACAGATACATCTTTTATTCTGGTTGATCTGGCTTGGCTACTTCGACGAACGAAAGGGAAGTTCTTGCTTTTATTTATTGTTAGTTTATATTACTGTTTCATTTTGAAACTGAATCAATTAAATTTTTGTACTGCTACTAATCTATTTTTATCTAAATTCACGTAATTAGATTCATTAACCTCGTTAAATCTCACTTTAACCTGCTTATTTTACGTGATTAGATTTTGACAAGTTGATTTATTATTTTACATATACCAGCAGTACTAGTTTGTTGTATATAATTTTAATCTCAAAATTTATTAAAAAAAGGGGGGGAGGGGGCTCAAATTTTCATTTTCCATTACTTGCACTTTTTGTTCATTGATCTTTCTATTGCATGTCATTAAGCTGCTATTATAGTGCAGATAGTTACATATTGGTCGTCTTGACTTCTAGCTCCAGTACCTTAAACATGAACCCCTCACAATTCGATTGACTCACCCGACAAATAGTTACTATTCAAACCCAAATGATCGCTACTCTTGAAGAGAGTAAGACCCTATCTGCTAGTTTGAAAAATTTTAAACAAATCCCTCATTCGATTGATGTCCATAAATCTAAAGTGTCCCATAATAGACATTATCATTATCAACATCATGGTAAAAAATGCTTTAGACACGATGGCGGGGGTAGGGGTCAAATTCGTGAGCAAGAACGAGATAATTTTGAAATTCTTACTCAATGGAATGCCCTTACACAAGGAAATCAACTAGTGACTGAGTATATCGCACAATTTGAGAAATTTCAATCCAAATGTCATTTAATTGAGGATGAGACCACAACTTTGAGTAGGTTTAGCCAAGGTCTCAGAGATGATCTTAGGCGTGAGCTTTTCCTTCGAGGTGTCACTACTCTTTATCACACTTACTCTTTAGCTCGAGATTATGAGTTGATTATTAGTACTCCATATAAAAAGCGTGGTCATCGTCGTTCACCCATCTCATTAGTGTCGCCTCATCATAAGTCTATCATAAAACCTTCTCCGTCTAATGTTCCTCCCATTTGGAAAAATAATTGTAAAGGTCGTGATAGTCCAAAACCTTCTTCTCCATGTAGAAAGCATATTGACAATCATCCTTTGGTTTCAATGGCTCCACATCCTCCCGTTAAGTCCCTTCTAGGACCTCCCCCTTCTAATGGTTCTCCAATCTTGGGAAATAAGGGTAGAATTTCTGAAACTCCAAGGTCTTCTTCTCACTCTCTGTGCATTAGTTGTAAGGTCTTTGGCCACATTTCTTCCAAATGTCTTAATCGAACCTTAGTCATGAAAGAACGAGAGAATGTAATAGATGAGCAGTTAGAAGATCTAGTTTGTGAACCTAAACTTGAAGATTTTGATGACTTGGATGATAGTGAGGACACTTCCTTAGGTGGAATCCAGACTCTTCCCGAGATTTTAGATACTATATCCCTTATCTCCGGCAATTCTCGATCACATGTTATATGTCATACCCTTACCCAAGTTAAAGAGCTTGATGATGTCACTAGTCACCCTTGGAGAATCCAGTCGCCTGTGGTTAGCACTACATCGAAATTCTCCACTACTGACTAACCTCAAACTGATGGTCAAAACAAAATTGCTAACCAAAATCTTGTCAATTTATTACAGTCTCTAGTCCGGAAAAATCTTGGGAATTGGGACTTGATCCCACCAACCGTTCAAGTTGCATATAACAATCCTGTGAATTGGTCTTTAGGTCTAAATTTGAAGTCAACCATGGTTGTGAATTTAGGAAACCTTTAGACCTTATTCCCATGCACCGACATGTTTGTGTGTCTATGTTAGTCGAGGTAGTTGTATCACATTTTCTTAGCTTGCATATTGAGATCAATAAACAATTTGAAGCAAGTAAAACATTATATAAACCTCAAGTTGATTGGCATAAACAACGTTTTGAATTTAATATTGGAGAATATGTTATATTACAAGTCTGTAATGCTCATTTTAAAATTTCAAAGCATGTTGGTCTAAATGCATATGTCAATGCCTTTTTATCACATTATGACCACCACCCTATTTTATTTGTTATGGACTTGGATACTTACAAAGACTATTTTAGCCCCTCTGATGACCTGTTTCTACTTCCACGTGAGAATTTCCACACTGAATCTTTTGCCATGTCTGCTTCAATCCTACCTATCACAGCACACAAAAATAAAATTGATGTTATTTTAGATGAAGAGATTGTGTCAACCAATAATAGAGAGATTCAGTGCTTTCTTGTTCATTGGATGGATCGACTTGATTCTGATGATACATGGATTCCCAAAGAGAGACGTCAACAACGCGAGCCAGATTCTTTGGAGCTTTATAAGAGTCAACAAAATCCTCAGTCGCCTAGGTTATCTTGGTCAGCTCATATTTTTGCGAATAATCTACAACTGACGTCATCATCATTTGTGGAGTTTCGATATTTGATTCGTCGGAAAGATCGTCCTCCATCGAATGTCTTGAAGCATTTTTGGTATCAGATCGGTTGCAGCCTTCAGTGATTTGACCACTCGATAGAGTCGAATTTTTCTCCCATTCCGAGAGAGTTGATGCGGACATCTCGGCCCATTTCGGTCTATATATTTTTACTTCATGTTATTTAATTATGTCTTTTTTCTCTTTATTGGACTTGTCTAGCGGGTCTAGTCCAAGCCCATGAATGTTAGGTCTTATTCTACTATATATATGATTTTCAGTTGTAATTACAGACAGACAATGATGGAATGAAATGTTATTGTGTTTGGCTTGCAGCCGTTTCCTCCCTTGCTTCCCTTCCCTTCCCCTAGTTTTCTTCTCCGGTCTTCCCCCCTTTCTCTCCGGTCCCCTCTTTCTTGCTGCCTTCTTCTTCTTTTCCTTCTTGAAACTCGTCTTCTAGTCCCTTCATTCATCCTGCATCAGTATGTTTGGATGACTTTAGCTTAAGAATAAGCTCCATTTTGTGGCAAAAATAGCGTCGAATGTAATTCAGAGTTTAAAAGATAGAATAAGTTATTTAAGTGGAACTTATTTTTACTTGAAAAATTGTGGGACCCAAAATTAAAAGATGTGAACTTATTTGCTAGACATGTTCATACTAATAAAATTAAATTTATCCGGTTTGGACCTCTTTTGGACAATGGTGAGATCTAAAAATTGAAAATCACAAAAAATATTTGGAAATGATAACGAAACAAGTCTAATGAAGAAATTACATGTTGATCATGGATTATATTTGTCATTCATTTATAGGGCTCTCTTACAAGTTCACAAGAATAACTATGGAGATGCTCATATAGCATCGAAGCACTAAACTATAGACCTTATGGTAAAAAAAGTTTACAATCAACACCGTTGCATCTCCCGCTGATCCAACGGCTACAATTTCAAAAAAAATAAGACCGTTGGCTCTGCATCGCCTATTGTGCAGCTTCAAATGGGCACTCTTCCTAACTTCTCCGTGCGATTCACACACACACAGAGGCCCAGAAGAGAGGGAGATTAAGAATTGTCAAGGTTTCTTCCTCGCAATGGATTCAAGACAGAATGTTCAACAACAAAACAGAGGTATGATGATGTTTGATGTTTTTCGCATTTCAATGATTTTGATGTTTTAAGAGATTAATGCCTACTTCGTCTATTATTCAATAAAGATTATAAAAGGTTACTAATATTTCGATGAAGAGTTGAATCCATTTCTTGGGATTTCAATGAAGATTTTAGGATTAATGATATTTCGATGAAGGTTTGAAAGCAGTTCTTGCTTATTTTGATGTTTTTCGATGATTTTGATATAATAGGACATTAATGTCTACTTCTAATATTCAATAAAGAAGTTAAGATTGCTGATATTTTGATGAATGTTTGAATTCCTTCTTGGGATTTCTTTACTATTTTTCTATTTTTCGATTTTTGAGTTTTCTTGGAATGATTCTGAACATTTCTTTAAATAACTCTAATCTTGTTCGTGCTTCCTGATGAGAGGGTTTCATTTGGTGTGGAAATTTTGACATTCAATCTATAATTCTCATGTACGATTTACAGTGGCAGCAGCCGTCCCTGGGGGTGTCAAGAAGCAGAACAACATGGCTGCAGAAAGGAAAAATCGACGAGCACTTGGTGACATTGGGAATCATGTTACGATTCCTGAGATTGATGGCAAGCCACTGCCTCAAATCTGTCGCCCCGTTACAAGGTTCAGAAGTCTCTCTTTTCATTTCATTTGACACTACTAGAGGGTATTATAAAGTATCGTAGTTTAAAAAAATTTCGATGGTACTGTACTATCTCAGGAGTTTTTGTGCACAATTGCTGGCGAATGCACAGGCTGCAGCAGCTGAAAAGACCAAGGTTTTCATGTTCAGAAATCATGCTCTTCTTTTATTATTCATATTTGGAGTCCATTAATTTGTATCTATGAATTACAGAAGAATTCCATGTCAGTCAATGCAAATGGAGGCATTGCAGTAGATGGAGCAATCCCAAAAGATGTGGCGAAAAAACCAGCCCAGAAAAAAGCTATTACGAAACCAAAACCAAAACCCGAGGAGATAATCAATATTAGTTCTGACGCAGAAGAAGCTAAGAAGGAGAAGCCCGTAGTAAGCAAGGAAAAGGCTGAACAACAGTCACTGGAGAAGAAAGCTCCAACTCTTACATCAACTCTCACTGCTCGAAGCAAGGTGGATTTTCGATTTGTGCGATTCTTTAAGAATTGGTGTTTCTTTTTATGACTTAACTCTCATCTCTAATAGCTGATTTCATTTTTACAGGCTGCTTGTGGGCAGATAGTTGATATTGATGCTGCAGATGTGAATAATGATTTGGCTGTTGTGGAATATGTTGAAGAAATATATAAGTTCTATAAGCTAGTTGAGGTATAATAAAGCACTCTCCATGGTCGATTTTCATTCAGTTGAGATCTTAATAAATACCGGGCTTTGCAGAATGAAAGTCGGGTTCATGACTACATGGATTCACAACCCGAGATAAACGAGAAGATGAGAGCAATTTTGGTTGATTGGTTGATTCAAGTCCACCACAAATTCGAGCTTTCACCAGAGACTCTTTACTTGACTATCAACATTGTTGATCGCTATCTAGCGGTAAAGACAACATCGAGAAGGGAACTTCAGTTGTTAGGCATAAGCTCGATGCTTATTGCCTCTAAATACGAAGAAATTTGGGCTCCTGAGGTAGTTTACTAAAGTTCCTTTGTGTACACAAATCTTCTCTATGAACATTTGAAACTAAAAACTATACTTTTGCAGGTCAATGACTTGGTGTGCATATCAGACAGAGCCTATACCAATGAACAGGTCTTGCGTATGGAGAAACGCATACTCGGTGAATTGGAGTGGAACTTAACAGTTCCCACACCGTATGTGTTCCTTGTACGGTTCATAAAAGCTTCTTTACCTGATTCTGATGCAAGTATATCTCGACTTGGCTACGAACCATATAAGGTGGAGAACTTGGTATATTTTCTAGCAGAGCTTGGAATGATGAATTATGCCACTGTTATGCATTGTCCATCCATGATTGCTGCCTCGGCAATCTATGCTGCAAGATGCACCCTAAATAAGGTGCCAGTATGGACCAAGACGCTTAAAATCCACACAGGTTTCTCAGAGCCACAACTTATGTAAGTTCATTTTCTTGCTGATTTTCAATTCTAATTATCATCTCTTTAAGTTTTGTGTGTAGATAATAATAATAATAATATGTATTTTCGAGTAGGGAGTGCGCTAAGCTACTGGTTAGCTTCCATTCGATGGCTGCAGCTCACAAGCTGAAGGTGATCTACAAGAAATACTCGAGTCCTGAGCGAGGGGCTGTCGCGTTGCTGCCACCAGCCCAGTCTCTATTGGCTGCGTCATAAACTTCTTATGGCGTTTGAAACTTTTATTCAGTGATTCTTTCTTTCATTTACACTATCATTCTCTCTGAAATTATGAGTCAAAGTATTTGATGACTTCGAATATATTTTTCTCCTTTATTTTGACAATATCATTGCGTCGTCTGTGACTTCATCTGTGAAGAGTGCATGCAATTGTCATACAAAAAACACAAGAAGTTTTTGAGACATGTTGCAATTCAAACACGAGATTAGGGATATATACTTATTTATCTAATACAATTTAGTCCGTGCCACAAGTGTTCGTACAAGTTATTGATATTGATTGATATCTCAAATAATTTACTTTAGTAGATGCTTAATTTGGTAGGATGTCTATATAAGCATTAATTAATTAAGTTTGAAAAGGAAAATTAAAATTATATGAATTCTTAAAATGATTCCTAAACCCAAACAATACAAAAAATATTTATTGATTCTTAAAATAATTTCTTATCCCGGTACCAATCAAAACTGCTAAAAAAACAAATACATATAGGGCATGTTTGAACGTAAAATTATGTCATTTCACCATATTGATTTTATCAATCTAGTACAATTATGGTAAAATCAATCTGGTATATGCATAACTCTAAAAGTTAAAAAATCAATCTGGCAACTGGGATTGATTTTATCAGAATTGTGTCAGATTAACACTTGGTAGCATTTCATTGGTAGTTGGCCCAAAAACATTTTAGACACTGTGTTATATCCAATGTTAATTAATATAATTGTAAACACACTTAGTGCATGTTTGGACATAAGCTAATTAAACTCTATTTTTATATACTCATTTCGTAGGATTCATAAGCAAGCACATAGATTTTTTTTTTAACTTTTAATCCTATGTCGAAATAACCAATGTCGATTAATATAATTATTTTTTCTAAACCATGCCTTAAGTTTTAGCTTATTTTTAAAACTACTTAACCTCTAATCACAATTAAAACAAGGAATCTTGCAATGAAAGTCAACACCAATATCCTATCATTTGCATAAACACCCCACTACTCACATTGAGCACCCAAAAATTCCCTCCTAATCGCTGGATCTATCTAAATAATTTTGTCATAGATCGGCCTATATTTGTTTTATCTTAAAACTCGATAAAAATTCTAATCAAAATCAACAATTTAACTAAATATTTTATGGGATTCACAATTTTCATCAATTTTTCAATTATAAATTTAATCAAATTTTATCAAAATCTACTATAAATTTAGCCCTCGTTTGGTAGCAATTTTTCCCATCAAAAAATCAATTTTTTGATCATTATTTCACTATTTTAACTGTTATTTTTTACTTCTTCACTCACAGATGAGACATATTTTTCTCTCTAACGATCAAAAAATTAATTCTCATAATCACTATCGATCATACTCTTAATTTTTAGCAAAACTAAAGGTGGACTCAATGTCAAAGTCGAGTTAAAAACCAAAAGAGAATTCCACACAAAGTGACCTAACTTTGCATTTTCTTCACACTTTCCTTTTTTTTTTTTTTTTTTCGCCTTTTTGATTTAATTTATTTTCCCTCATAACAAATTTCATTCTCCGTGTAATACAAAACCTCAACCATATTACTGCCGTGCCGTACTTCTTCCCCACTTTCTCTTATAGGCCGTGTTACACGCGCCATGCCAAAATGCAACCTTAACTGCTCCAAAAGAATCTCCCATGATATTATCCAATTGGAGTCAAGCGTGTCAAGCACGCTTCTAGACATATATGTGGATTATGTATGTACGATATATACAACTTTTGTATGTATAGGTTTGTGAAATAAAAATCTTTTTAGCAGTGGACGCTCACTCTCAAGAAAAAATGCAACTTTTGCACACAAAAAACTCACAAGGAATCAACAAACAGTGAACATAATAAACGCTAAACAAGATCCACCTCGATCACCCACCAGCCCCGTCCCACCCTTCCCTTCTTCTTCCATACACTCACTGTCTCACACACAGAAGAATTTTTTCTCTCGTCTTCTCTCTGTCTACAAGTGAATCAGTTCTCGCGTCTTTCTTGATAGAGGGAGAAAGAAGAAATTTTCCTTGAAAAAATTCTCTGCAAATTCATTTAAATTTACGGTTTTGCTTCCCACTTTGAATTTTTGTATGTTTCTTGGCAAAATCTCGAAAAAGAAAATTAATATAGTGTTTGATTCCCAATAAACTGCCTATTTCAAGAAAATTTTGAGTGGAAGATGAGGGAGGAGGATTCCAATTGGTTTGCAAAATGGGAAGAGGAATTGCCATCACCAGAAGAGTTGATGCCTTTATCCCAAACCCTAATAACTCCTGATCTAGCACTGGCTTTTGATATTCGAAACCCACCACCAAATCACAACCATCAGAGCACTCCGCCGCGGCCACAGACCACCGCACACTCTTCTCAACCTAACTCTTCCGCGGAATTCGACTCGGTTGAGTTGGTTGGGTCGGAAGGGGGTGGTGATGGTGGAGTAGCCGGTGCCGGAGGTGGTGTGGGGTCGGACGAACCGGCTCGGACCCTGAAGCGGCCACGGCTTGTTTGGACTCCTCAGCTGCATAAGAGATTCGTGGATGCTGTGGCTCATTTGGGGATCAAGAATGCTGTGCCGAAGACTATAATGCAGCTGATGAGTGTGGATGGACTTACAAGAGAGAATGTTGCTAGCCATTTGCAGAAATACAGGCTTTATCTGAAGCGGATGCAGGGAATTTCCAGTAATGGGAGTGGTGGTGTTGGTGGAAGTAATGTTAGTGTGGATCCTACAGACCATTTGTTCGCAAGCTCACCTGTGCCGGCACATTTTTTGCATCCAGGCAGGCCAAATACCGACCATTTTTTGCCTTTTATGCCTGTGGCCACAATGCAGCAGCAGCATCAGATGGCGGCAGTGGTTGGTTCAGGGCCGGGGCCTGGGCCGCATCACCATCAGCAGCTGCAGCAGCAGTTTAGGCATTTTGGGACCTCACCGCCAAACGGACAATTTGAGCATCCCTTTATAAGGCAATCACAGCAGCAGGTGCAGAGAATGGGTGCGCCGGTTCATATTAGTAATGGTTCGGTGGCACCTCCATTGTATGTCGAGGATTCAGAGTCGGCCAGGGCTGGAAATGGGAGGAAAGTCCTCACCCTGTTTCCAACTGGAGATGATTGAACTTGGGGTAAATCCTGACTTTTCCTGGAAACTGCATTTTCTCCTCAATTTGTGAAAATCTGTGTTTGGATTAACATTTGGTATTTATTTTAGCAACCTATTCCTATCAGGTAGCTGTTCTTGATAGGTGGAGCTTTTGGTATTAGGCTTCTTACAATGAATTACTTAAATGCTTGTGTCCTTCATGTGTTCTTGATCTGTGTATATATAACGAGTCTTCAATCAGTCCAATTCCATGTTTTACCATAAGTGTAAACAAGTTGTAAGTAGCATTCTGTCGTGTCCATAGTGGCTTCTGGTTTACAATAGGTATTGAAAATAAGCAATCTAGATATCATTATGTTTGGAGATCCATACGGCTCCTCCAGAAAATACTACCGAACTGATCATATCCACTACCTGCAGTCCACGACTTATGATCTTGTAGAAAGAAATCTCTCCTGCTGGACGAGACAGTAACATTTTTCCTTGTGCCCTTCTCCTTGAAAACAACGCCCAACTCGCTCTTTTTAAGCATAGAGCTATATTCCTTTTGAGCCAGGATCAAAATCGTAGCTCTGATCTATTAACATGGGAAATCGATGGTTTGCCTCAACTGAGACCATCAGTATATCTAGGGGCAGACCTAGACCTTTTGTGTTGTGGGGTCAAAAATTAAAGTGTAATTTTTAAAAAAACAATATAATGTTAATGAAAATAAGTTAATATGCATTTTGATTCTTTGAAAATGTTTTATAGTTATATCATTATCCATATTGTTAAATGAATTTTGCTAGTTGTATGGTTTTGTTTACCATTTCGTTGACAGATGTTATGCTGATGACGAGTAAATCAAATTGAATGCAGGAAATAAATGAATTGAAATAAAAATCACATTTAATTTAGGAAGTAATTTAAATTTAAATTTAATGCGAAAGTAATTCAAATTACATTTAATTCATAACGATCCTATAATTTTTGACATCATATTCCATATAAATTTTCTAATAAAATAATGTAAATTAGATTGAAAAATTTATCGTACAAAAATAACAAACATTAATGAAATAATTGAAAGTTTTAAAGAAAAGATAAGTTAGATGCCTCTTTTAAGACATAGGTTTGATGCATGTTATGAGATCTACCAATTTTTATAAAACATATCTATAAAATTATTCAATTTTTGTTACGTCAAATGTACGTCTTAAAAGAGGCGAATTTTGAACATATTATCGAAATTCTTGAAATACTAGTTTGGAACGACTTACTTTGATGCATCTTAACTTTTGTTACGGTTGGTCGTTTCGAACGCCGTTAATGTGTGAACAATTAGACCATGAGTACTTCGAAATGGTATTAAGAATGCAATATTTCGATTTCATTTGGCATCCCAAAAGGAGCGTATCAAAAGAGGTTGTAAAAGAGTCAAAACAATTATTTTCTGGAAAAAAAAAAAAAAAAAATTTGTGGGGTCATTTAACCCCAAGTGGGTCTGCCCTTGAGTATATCAAAGAAGATGGTGGTGCCTGAAGAATGAAGCAAGGATTGGCTAATTCTTGATTATGTAACTATGGATGAATAATGCTGGAAATAACAATGAGATTTTAATGTCTTCAAGAAGTTGGAGATGGTGATATAGATCCATGGACTGCATAACTGCACGTTTTCTTGAAAATTTCTGGCATATTTACCTACAAGGTTTTCTGTTTCTTTAGTATACCTGGAGTATTCTTATGATTTCACTCAAGTAAGCATGGTATTCGAGTCATTTGCTCATTATTTAGGCTAATGGTAGTCTTGAATGTTTCTGTACCTTTCTGTGAACATTCAGCCGACAGAAGTATCCTTTTGCTAAGATTTAATGGTGAAATTTTTTAATTTTGAGATGGAAATTGGTAGTTGGTGTTCTTGTAGAACAAGTAAATTTTGATTTGTATTTGTGCACAATTGATAAAAAAATTACGTGTGGAATTTCAACTTATGCAAAGTCCTCAACCTTTTCTTCATAGCTTGTGGATTTTTGACCTTTTTATTTTCTTCAATGGACTCATTCTGACTATAATACAAGTTTACCTCTTGAAAAATCAAATATTTAAGTTTTGATTTTTTGTTAGTCAAATGAACGGAAATTGTCCACTATGGACCTTAGTACTATAAAAATGTGAGGCTTCAAATCTTTCTTCTGGTGCTTGTCTAGCACTTCCAAGTTGATTAGGTCATGTTTATTATTGTCATTAATGCCATCATTGTGGACAACATATTCAATGCTAAGAGTAAGCCACAACTTTTAATTTTTCTCTAGTGTTTATTGTAGTTTAGAACATCCTCAATGAAATTCACAAGTCTCCTCTCATCATAACTTTGAAATCTATAGGAATCATCATGTTTTATGAGAATTTCATCTGATGATGATATTCAAAAAGGGATGGAGAATGATGTATAAGTTGTGAAGGTCAGTTTAAATTAACATATAATAAAGCAAAAATTCAAGTAGTTGGTGCCCAGTAATGAAAAAAAATATGCACATATCGACTTTTGACGAAAAACTTAATCCAACCTACAAGTATGAAAGCATATCAAAGACGTAATTTAAACAAATATTTTTACTTTGTAATGTTTAAGTTTTTATATACATTTATAGCTGCATTTTCTAATTCAGAGAGATTGTTGGAAATGTGCACCCGCTAACATCGGCACGATTCTTGATGTTTTAAATATTCAAACAGATCACACCCACACATTATTCATGAATTACCTCATCAAAAGAGTATTGGCATGCCATATAAAATGCAAAATTCCCCACCCACATTCATCCAATCTTTACTTATAAAGTATAAAGAAAGACTTCATTAATTATCTATGAAGTCTATAATTTTATAATATCAAGAAAACATAGTGCCTAATATATGGATATAATAATATGATATAAAGCTGGCACTGAATTATTCCTTGGTATCTTTGCCTTTTAATAGACAACTAACCCCACCACATGATCCTTAAACCATGTGCTTACATTTGTTTTCTAGTATAATAAGGACATGATTGGTAGGGTTTTTTATTTTGCTTTTATTTTTTATGGAAGAGTTTCCTCATTAGGTACTTTAAATTAACTTCTTCTAAAAACTCTTCTAATTCAACAAAGTACTACTAAAAAATTATTCAAATATGTACAAAAACAACTTCTTAATCTCAAAAATAGTTTTTGATCTTTAAAAAACTCTGTCAAATGGGCCCTAAGAAACTAGTTATATTTGTTTTTGTGTGAGTTGAAGCATTAGCAACTCATCAGAATTAAAAGAAATAGCCATTAAACTTATGAATAAAAGTATAAAACGTATCGACTCTTCTTTAGAATGATAAGGTGTGAATCATCCATAGGTTCGAACCAACTTCATGCCACGCCATACTAGGCAAATCTTCGAACCCAAAACTTACTACAATATTCCTCTGGTCATTTTTTACCAAGAAAATGGAAACAATCATATGTGCAGTTGCAAGACTATAAGGGTCTAGAGAGTTGGGCAAAACATGACACACCTTCATACAGTTCGTCTACATGCAGCCAAGTGCCTCTTCGAATTTATACCTCGAGAATGTTAGCAAGGGTGCTTTGACTTAAAATTAGAGATAACACAACCTTGGCCCCTTTTTGCTTCACACTACTCACCATTGATGTAACTTTTGAAGCATGTGATAAACTTGTTTAATAAGGTAATGTTTAAGTCAGGAAAGAGTCGTTTATGTAATGTCAGTCTAGAAGTTTAAGAAAAATAAATCATTCTTTTCAGGTCTGAACCTGATTCATTTGGCCCTCCCTCAACTAATATATCCTTGGTTAATCGACATGTGAGATTATTTTAGCTATTATCTCGCAGCAAAAATGGGAGCATGACATTCAATTGTTCATTCAATTCCAAACCAGTGATAGCTTCGATATGGACCAATTCAGTTGGTCCATGGTAACTTGTAAGGTGGCCCGTTCCGAAAAAGGCCTTGAAGATGTAGTGGGCCTTTAAATGGGCCCACGGACTTGGTGTTTATCTATTTTTCTGTCCTTGATGTTTATGGCCCAATCAGGTTGTACTTGGGCCCCTTGTGGTCTCAATTGTCCAATAGGCTTCCTTGTTCTTTATATGCAATAACCCCAACTACATTGGGCCTACCAACCTTTAGAAAGACAAGGATTAAGCCCCTATTTAGTGTAGATTAAAATCATTTTTTAGTAAATTTTAATAAAAGTTAATGAAATGTATTCAAAAATTGTGAATTTCATAAAATATATTAGCTAAATTAATAAATTATAATCTGCATTAAGCATAGGCTAAATTGTGTTGATTATTAGACAAACTTCAATATTATCTTCTTTAATTAATATTACACTGTCCAAATCCGCTAATCAAACAAGTCAAAGGTCATTTAACACATTTATGTAACATATATAGGCCCTGTCTGGAGGTGATTTTGGTCCAAATTATAATCCAAAATATTACCCTTGTGGGACCCTCATTTGCAGACAGCACTGATTGCACAGGTGCATAATTATCGGAATGCCATTATGTACATTAGAATGAATTTTAAGTGGGGATCAAATTGGTAATCTTCCGCATTTTAATTAAAAAGGTTTCTGCCTCCCTGACACACCAACAATCAATTTTTTTGCTAAAAATTCATCCAAATCACTCTCAAAGACGCACATAGACTTAAATGATAGATTTAATTAAATTTAAGGATGTAGGCCCATTTAATGGAATCCATAGTGTGTTATCACTTAAATGATGTTGAACACCATTGTTCTTAGATATTATCCATATGAAATCATAGAAATACGGAAAAAAGGATAATCTATTAGTTGGTGGAAAAGAATTATGGTATCTATCATACTGCTCGTGCTAGCAGTTTAGATGTCAGGTAATGACATTATACTTTTCATATAATATCATTTAAGATTTCTAATCACTTAATTGACATACGAAAAAAGTTGATTGTATAGCATTTTTTTTTTTTACAGTTTTTTTCACAGCCTCCTCACAAAGGTGAGGTCCGCGATTATTTTAATTGCGGACCCCACCTATTGCATGTGTGTGTGTTGTAGACCATGCTATGAAAATTGATGTACCCTTGTCAATATTTTTTAATTTTTATTTATTTATTTATTTATTATTCAGGTATCCACCTTACAGTAACTAAATTTTGGAGTCTACACCTTGGCTCTTCAAACTGCAGACAGGTTAAACCGCAGGTTGTGCCCCAAACTGACCAGTGCTCAAGAGCCCCCCCAACTGATCTGTCAAAGTGCCAAGCAAGTCGTTTCCCAACTGGCAAATATGAGGGCGCTTCAAGGCTGACAAATCAGAGGTCGTGAGTTCGATTCTTAGAAGGCTCTTGGAAGGCAGATATTCTCCTAGAATGTAGAATTTATCTTGGGAGACATGAGCTCTACTGGAAGGTAAGGTGCAAAGATTGAAGCGCCCTCATGTTTCTTGACATATAGACTAGCGGTTATTAACTATCCAAATAAATAATGGATTAATCTATTTGTACAAAATTTCTGTTGAGATAAATAATGGATTATTTATTTTCTTCTGCCCAACACCCAATGAAATTCTGTCATGTGAAATTTTATCATCCCTTCTGTAAAATCTCTTGTATACATACATTGTCCAAATAATACTACTTGAACAAAAAGGGGTGAAAACCCATTATTAATTTGTTAAAGTAGGGAAAATTTCATTTTTCAGTCATCCAACTTTCACCGAAATCTCGATGATACACCCAACTTCATTTTATTACGATAATGCCACAACAAAAATTTCGATGCATAATTTGTTGCTTTGTATGAAGTTGGTAAATTTAACGGTGGAAATTTAGCCTTTATTTGACAAATATTATTTGGAAAAAAAAATATTTTGAATAGTAATTTTTAGGAGAATGCGTGGTTAAAAAATACGAAAAAATTTTGGATTTACATACACAATATTTTATTATATGACCATATTGTTAAAAATGAGTGCATAAAATAACGAGTTTTCAAATAATAATTGTCAAATAAGGACTTAATATAATGGATTGCTGATGTGGAATGTCGATAGACTGCTTTGCTCAAAATTAAAAAAGAAATAGAGAAACTAAAAATAGAACAAAAAGATAAAAAGAGGGTTCAACATCCTTCCAAAATTCTATCAGATTTATTCATTTCCGTGTCACGTGCACTATATGTCCAAAATACGGGTTTAAT